ACTCATAAACTGGACATCTTAGTCACTGGCAATGGTCTTAGGCAGTCCAAAATCATGCACTCTGTTATTCATGAATAACTTGAGGACGTGTTCAACCCTTGTGGTTTCTGGCACGACAATTACTCTACCGCACTTAGTGAACCTGTCCACTATGACGAAGATGTGTTGTTTGCCACTCTTGCTGGTCACGAGAGTATCCATGAAATCCATGGAGACACACTCTCCCAGACCCCCAGGAATAGACAATAACTTTAATAACCCAAGCGGTACTTGAGTTTGCGGCTTATCCCACTGGCAGAGTTGACAAGTGTGTACGTACTTCTTTGCATCATCTAGCATACTATGCCACTATTAACGATGTACTGGATTAGCATTAGTCTTCTTGTAGCCGAAATGCCCGGTCGCATCATGTCACTCGCCTAAAAATAACCTATGTGGAATTTCACTAGATGGGACACATAATCTCTTGAACCCTGCCTTTTCAAGAAAGAGTAACCCATCCACCATCACAAAGTCATCTGATGCGGCCTTGTCTTGGGCCTCTAGTCTGTGTATGTCCATCATGACGGGATCTTCACTGTAGGCATCCTTCATCGATCGAGTTACTTCATCAGATAGGCGAAACTCAATAATCAACACACCCAGGTAGTCTGCCCTACGTGACAACGCATCAGCAACCTTGTTATACTCTCCCTTCACGTAATCTAGCTTGAAGTCATATTGCTCAATTACTTCAATCCAACATTTGAATGCATCAGAGATAATAGGTTGCATTTTGTTCCACTTTAGTGTCTGATGGTCTGTTCTCAAATAGAAAAACGTTCCCAAGAGATAGCGTCTCCAGTGGAAAAGATCTTTATAGAGGACATAGAGTTTTCTTTCATAGGTAGACTTCGCTAACTTCTTAGATGACATCTTTTTACTTATGTACTCGATCGATCTGAACTTTTTCCCTTCCTGTTCAGCTAACACTGCGCCTATGCCGTATTGGCTCGCGTTAGTGGTCACGACAAATGGCCTCTCCGGATCGGGGACCATGAGAACCTCATGATGTGTGAGAGCATACTTCAACCTTTTGAGGGCTGCCTCAGATTTGCCTGTCCATTCCCATGGTGTGTCAAGGCGTGTTAGATCAGTCAAAGGGGCAGCCATCGTGCTATAGTTCTTTACGAAGTTGCGGTAGTAGCCAACCATCCCTAAAAAAGACTTGACCTCTGCCACAGACTGAGGTCGTGGCCAGTCACGAATGCTAGCCACCTTTGCATCTTCGAGACTTATCTCTTCCGCGGATATCTCATGACCCAAGTACATGATTTTTGTGCGACCGAACTCGCATTTCTCTAAATTGATCTTAGACTTGTGTTGTCGTAGGAAGGAAAGTATTGTTTCTACATGCTGACCATGCTCCTCGACTGTTCTACTGAAAATGAGAATGTCGTCGAGGTACACGGCGATGAACTTATCCAAGTAGTCATGAAACACCCTGTTCACGGCGTGCTGAAATGTACTCGGCGCATTGCAAAGCCCAAAGGCATTACCGCAAACTCATACAGACCGTACCTGGTTTGAAATACAGTTTTGTATTGATCCTCTGGTCTAATGGCAATTTGATGGTAGTTCGACTTCATATCTATCTTAGTGAAGTACTTACATCCCTGCACACTATCCAAAAGGTCATCGATGTGGGGTAGAGGCTCTGCGTTCTTAACGGTGAGGCCTCTATAATCAATACACATCCTCAGTGATCCCCTGTTCTTCGGAATGAGTGGTACTGGTGAGCCGAAGGGGGAAATGGTAGGTCCAATCCGATCCTTCTCTATGAGCTCTTTCAGCTGCTGACGAAGTTTGTCCAACTCAGCACGAGCCATCCTATAGATTCTTCCTTTCAGTGCCTTGCTACCTGGGATGATCTCTATGGCATGGACAACCTCCCTGTCTACGAATCTTGAAGGCTCCTCAAACAGATCAGGGTATTTGGCAATGACAACTTCTATCTCTGGGGGCGATTTAACGACCTCCCCTTTCTCAGAGACAAAAACTAAGTAAATACCCTCCTCTTGGTTCTGTTTATAGTAATTATAAAACGTTGATGCACACATGCAACGATAAGTGTCTATCAAACTGCAAGCCTTGTACTTTGTGAGTATGATTGTCCCTCCTTTCGGTAATACATGCACCACCCACATGACTGTCCCTCCTTTCGGTAATACATGCACCACCCACCCACTCACCCACCCACCCAGCACCCACCCAAGCACACACC